CCGGGTGTGGTAGCGCATGCCTGTAATCCCGGCTACTCGGAAGGCTGAGGCGGAAGGATCACTGGAGCCCAGCAGGTGAGGCTGCGGTGGCCGGACTCCAGTCTGGGCAACAGAGTGAGACTCCGACTCGAAAAAAAAAAAGATTTAGAACACTTCCATCATGGCGAACATTCCTTCTTGTCCTCAATCAAGAGGACATATTTTAAATTTACACAAATAGCATTATATCAGCTATCTCATTCTGTATCTTTGGTTTCCACTGAGCACTCTGATTTGAAGACCATTCAAGGGTTTGTGTACGTCTAATCCATTACTTAGAATTGCTGCTTCCAGCTGCATGGCTTAGGTCTCTGAGTGGCTTCTGAGTCTCCACCACTCCAAACTATGTTGTGCAGATATGCTGACGTTTCTCTCTCTCTCTCTTTCTCTCTGTTTTTTTTTTTGAGTTGGAGTCTCATTCTATTGCCCAGGTTGGAGTGCCTCCACCTGCTGGGTTCAGATGATCCTTCCGCCTCAGCCTTCCGAGTAGCCGGAATTACAGGCATGCGCTGCCACACCCGGCTGATTTTTTGATTTATTGTAGAGATGAGGTCTCGCTGCCCAGGCGGGTCTCGAACCCGCAGGCTCAGGCAACATTTGTTAACATTTAATGAACCTCCTTTCCTGTAGCTTTAAGCAACCAGGACACAGATTCCCTCCACCCCCCCCACCTTTTTTTGTTGTTGGAGTCTCCCTCTATTGCCCAGGTTGGAGTGCCATGGCATGACGCTCAGGGACACTGCAGCCTCTATCTGCTGGGCTCAGGCGATCCTTCCTCCTCAGCCTTCCAGGTAGCTGGAACTACAGGAGTGTGTTATCACACCCAGCTAATTTTTTTCATTTATTGTAGAGACGAAGTCTTGCCAAGTTGCCCAGGCTGGTCTTGAACCCTGGGCTCAAGCAATCCTCTCACCCTGGCCTCCCAAAGTGCTGGGATTACAGGGGTGAGCCACAAACTTGGCCTTCTCAGTGGTTTTAAGGATTAAACAGGCTGGGCGTGATGGCTCAAACCTGTATTCTCAGCACTTCAGAAGGCTGAAGAGGGAGGACTGCTTGAGCCCAGGAGTTGGAGGTTGCAGGTGAGCCATAATCATGCCACTGCACTCCAACCTGGGCAACAGAATGAGCCCCTGACTCAAAACAAACAAGCAAATAAATAAAATAATATAGCAGGCTAGGTGCGGTGGCTCACACTTACACTCAGCACTTTGGGAGGATGAGGCCGGAGGATTGCTTGAGGCCAGGAATTTGAAACCAACCTGTACAGCAGAGACCCCCATCTCTACAAAAAAATAAAAAATTATCCAGGCATAGCCGGGCTCGGTGGCTCAGCCTGTAGTCCCGTGCCTTTGGGAGGCTGAGGTGAGAGGATTGCCTGAGCCCGCGGGTTCGAGACCTGCCTGGGCAGCGAGACCTCATCTCTACAATAAATCAAAAACTAGCTTGGTGTGGTAGCGTGCGCCTGTAGTTTCAGCTATTTGGAAGGCTGAGGCGGAAGGATCGCCGGAGCCCAGCAGGTCGAGGCTGCGGTGGCCAGGAGCTGCCACTGCACTCCAGTCTGGGTGACAGAGTGAGACTCCGACTCAAAAAAAAAAAAATATGGAGGTTCTTCAGGGCAAGCTCCAGCTCCCTCCCTCACTCCTTACACCCCTTGAAGGGGCCTTCTCACCCACCGCTACAGCCTCAGTTTCTCCACTCTGCGCTAGTGATGCCCATGTTTCTGTCTCCAGCCCTGGCCTTTCCCCTGAGCCTCCCAGACATGTCCTTTTGAACATTTCCCAGACTGCTCACACTGCTGTGTCCCACACGGCACTCAGTGTCCCCCTAAACCTGTTCTTCCTTTCTGTCCCCATCTCAGGGGCAGCCCACTATTCCCCGCCCACCCCCCCACCACCCTCCGCCACTTGGGCTTTGCATTCACCGGTTCCCCGGCATAATTCATGACCGTCCTGTTCTCTGTCAACACCCAAGCCTCTGGCACCTAGATACAATGGGATTAAATGCATAGTAAACAAATGGAGTCATTTAAAAATTATTTGTGTTTTTGTTTTTTTTGAGTTGGAGTCTCACTCTGTCGCCCAGACTGGAGTGCAGTGGCTGCTCCTGGCCACCGCAGCCTCGACCTGC